AGATGTAAACATGGTTTATGCGTCTTAACCGAGCTTCCTTGAGAGAGCATCAAAATGGTCATGGCAACACGACATCCATAGCGATATATGTGACTATTTGCCGTGCATGCTTTGTGGATTGACCACGAGTATGGTTTCAGGTTTCGATATGATGCAGTAGCCCTTCATATAAGCAACTACACTGAAAGCATCGCATCATTCTCTTGATCTCTCCAACTCCCTGATACAATCCTATGATAGCATGGTAGAATGAATCACGATACGGTATTCACCGCGAAGCCTTGATCGCCTTCCAGCAGGTGAATTCAGAAGGTATCATGTTCTCATCACTGGAAATCACAGCTTTGGCAGTTAGTTTTCCAGCTAATCCATGATACAGGAGGCCCCTGGCTCCAAGGCCACCGACTAGCCAAAAGGCACAATTGCTTCTCTCGCCTATAACATCATTTAGACAACCCAACAGTGGCAGGGATCCATTGGCTGTCAATGGAGGCATGGCTCTTATCCCAGCCCTTGCTCGTACATAATCCCATTTACTTATTCCTGGATAAACAGCAGAAGCTTTGGGGAGCAGCTCTTCCATTGCAGTATGTGCTTCTTCATCACATACACTTGGATCATGATTGTCAGACTTCCATTGCCAAGTTGACCCGACAGAAACGGTGCAGGGTCCTTGGAATGCCAGCCATGCATCAGACAAGATTGAAGGACTTTGACTGCCATATTTTTCTCTGCAAGGAAATACAGCCATCAGATAGTTCCATATGATACTGTAATGACTGTAAGCTCAACTTATACGTAAACACCTTACGCTGTATCTGATGGCAGTTTGAATTCAGCAATAACTCCTCTACAGGTTCTAAGAGGCAACTTATTTGTAAGTTCTGGAAGTGAGCTAGCTTTGCCCCCAAGGCAGATGATCACTGCATCATAATCTCCTGCCATGTTGGATAAACAAATGTTGGTACTCTTAACACAATTTCTTCAGTATTAGCATTTTTTGTAACAGGAGCTGTTCAACTGATAAATTGTAAATTAACAAAAAATTGACGCTTCTCTTTAGCATGAGGTGGTTCATCAACTATAATTTCAGTTTAAAGTGCATGCAAAGCCAAAATGTAGAGTACAATATTGTAGAGTCAAGAACTTTTTCAAAAATTGCACGTGAGTTTACCTGAAAGTTGTTGTAGATTATCGATATGTTTGTTGTACAAACTGAACTCTTTCAGTTCACTGGGTGATACAGATGTTTCCTTGGCCATATTTTGGCACGCAAGGAACAATGCCTACAGAAGCACAAGAATGAAGTGCCTCAACATATGAACATACCAACAATAAGATAACAAACAACTGACGATGAAACAAAAGCAGCAACTCGTGCAGCACCTGCAAATATTTCTTAGGGTTGATGTTCAGTGCTAGTGGCATATAAATCGCAAGGTTGAGCGGAACACGTAACCCAGGGATCAGTCTTTGTGCAGCATCCGAATCAAGAACTTGAAGGCTGCAACTCTGGAGGCAACTCTGAGCATTCTAACTTGAATAGGTCGAAGTCGAAGCAATTAAAACCATGCACCAAAAAACACAAAAAGGAAGCACCTGAGCATAGCTTCGTAATCTCAGTCCAGCAGTACCTCTAGCAATATATCAGCAGCCTTCTCTGTCGTAGGTGGCCGCAAAATTCCCCTACTCAGTGGAAGGTATACTTATCAATAGGGCAAACATAAACAAAAACAAACGGTTAAAATATACACCCTCCATCCCATATTAATTGATGCTCAAACGGATGTAGCGTGACACGCTACATAGACACGCTACATCCGTTTGAGCGTCAATTAATATGGGATGGAGGGAGTACTAGCTACAAGGAAAAACTGATTGCCTTCTCCAGATAAGGGCCTCATCATCCCGACCATCGCCATCTGATCCAGCGATTCCATCCGCTTTCTCTGCGCTGCGCAGGAGATCCATGCTCTCTTTCCAGAATTCGCCTCCTCTCCAGAGAAGCTTGGCTGCAGTTAAGCAAGCAAATCCATGTGTCTGTCAAACTTATGCTAGAGCTGGACTCAAAACTGTACTCACAATATAGTGAGTGGAAGACAGAGTCGAATGCTTGTAGTGATGGAGGGGACCTTTTGGTGAGTACGGATGGAGAAGCCCTCCAGAGACCCCCGAGGCGCCTCCCCCGACGCCGTTCTCGTCGTAGACGTCCACCGACACGCGCGAATACTTCGGGCTTTGCTGCAGACATGCCAGACAGCGTCGGCTGGTTCAGGCGATGCTCCCAGTCCCAGCTGTGTGTGCAAGTAAATAAGGCCAGGGGGGAGTAGAAGAGGAGAGGAGGGGACCTTGAGGAGGTGCCACGCGACGGAGAGCCCCGCGAAGCCGGCGCCGAGGACGGCGTAGCGGAGAGGGCGGGGCCATCCCGGCGGCGAGGGCGAGGGGGAGGAGGCGGCGGACGTGACGGCTCCTCTGGAGCACGAGCCGAGGCTCTGGAGGAGGCGGGACCGGGGAGGAAGGGGAGATGAGGGGTGTGTGCTGTGAGGCGGCGGCATGGCTTCACGGGCGGCGGCTACGGTCGTGGATGAGGATGCGGCGGGTACTGTTCCGGATAGAAGGACGGCGGGCGGTGGAGCAGCGGCGCTATTCTCAGCAGGAATAGGGGTAGGGCCCACCGGAAAGAGACATTCGCCGTTCCGGGCTTGGAGGAATTGGGCCGCCCAGAGGTGCCTGGAAGCTGGAATCCAAGACACAGAAAAAGTATCCGCTCACCCCCTCAAAAAAAAAAGTAGCCACTTTTTCTCATAAAAAAAGAAAGAAAAGTAGCCACTTTTTATCATAAAAAAAATAGCCACTATTTCTGTCTGTTCCTTAAAAAAAGTGGACTACGCCTACAAAAAGGGCGGCCACGAAAGACAACTCATTATGCCAACTTCATTCTGAAAATTAACAATTTGATCATTTTGAGTTGTTTTAAAAAAAACAGTTGTAGAACAAGATATAATGTTTTTTTTAAAGGGAAGGCGCACAAAGCACCGACAACTTCATTTTAATCAGGTCTCAAGTACATGTACCTAACCTTGGCAATCTAGCTGAAGAAGAAGAAGAGGGAGAAAAACACAAGTAGATTGCCTGTTCATTGATGCACGCAAATGCAGGCGCAGAAGAACTGTATAGAGCCTCATGAGCACAATCATTCGGAACACCATTGAGAACAAGATATAATGTGTACACATGCATAAACTATGGAAAAAAACATGATCATTTTGTGAGCAATAAACATCCTAGTTATTACTAGAATATAAATGGGGGCATCCACATATGGTTGGGATGAGGTTATCTAAGAACATCCACCATGGCAATACAGCAAGGTGTAATATGCTCGACAAAGACAACATTCCATCATGACAGAAAATGCCCCACAACACTTCAACAACAATCAGAAAAACAAGCAATTCTTAAATTACCGAAGAGAGACTTTACATCTATAATAGCATCTGGTGCAGTTTGCCCGTTAGTAAGCGTCTAAGCGATGTAACAAAATATTAACAAGCTGCATCCAGCTACTCCATCGGTAAAGAGGCATGCAGTTTCACCATATAGAACTATCCTAAAGTATGTCTCTCCACTATCTCATCATGTTTCTCCACTTATCCTTCAAGTCAACCTGCAATAGGACCCGCTAGACGGTTACTAGATGAAAGATCAGTCACAAAAGAAAACTTTAGTGTAAAAATTCAAATACCCACCTGTGTTCTACCAATAAAAACGTCGGGATTGTGGCTCAAAATATCCTTCCAATTGCCGCTACCAAATCTTCACAACAGCAAGAAGGGAGAAGCGGTAAGAATAATAAAAGAAAATGGCACAAACTACGGTTTCGAGACAAAATTTAAACAGCAATCAAGAGATATTATCGAATAATGAATTCCAACAAGGAAAAAGACATACTGTTCAACGCCATTTCTTAGTGTTTCTTCTTCTACCGAGCTCCACCTCCTTGCCCTTCTACGCCTAGCTTTGTTTTCTGCCACTTGCAACGGAGAAACCAATATTCTCCTTGGGCTAGGCAAGTGCGGTCTATGTGATTGTGATCTTGAGCCATCAGGATCAAGCGAGTCCTCCCACTGCAAATAAGATCCCTGTGAGCATAGTTACCAAAATCTAATGTTTTAGGACTTCTGTCTAGAAGGGTGTCCTACATGATAAGAAAAGACTTTTAATCCCCAAAGCACTAAAATTCCACTTCTTATTTTAATTAAACTACTCCCTCCGTCCCAAAATTCTTGTCTTAGATTTTTCTAGATACGGATGTATCTAACACTAAAACGTAACTAGATACATCCGTATTTGAACAAATCTAAGACAAGAATTTTGGGACGGAGGGAGTACATCATAGTTTACTTCTGGAGATGTACATAGCTAGCCAATGTGCATGGAGAATACTGAAGATCACATTTTACTAAGGATTAGTCATCATATAAATTTAAGTATTAACTTACATACTGTACAAAGAAAGTAGTATTAACTTACAAAAGTTCAGTAATATATCAATCGCACAAGTACCAACACATATTTGCTGTATGTTGAAATGCTGATTTGATCATCTTTTGCCATGTATAAGAAACCAGCTTGTCCAAAAAACATATGTCCGCATAACTTTTAACTTATACTCCCTCCGTTCACAAATATAAGATGTTCTAACTTTTTGTGAATTGGATGTATATGGACATGTTTTAGTGAGTTTGTTCACTCATTTCTGTCCGTATGTAGTCTATATTGAAATATCCAAAGAATCTTGTATTTGTGAACAGAGAGAGTATTATCTAGTTTCTCTAGAAAGCAACAGAACTGAAGGCGGCAGTGAAAAGTAGCAACATAATAATTGTGATCTTATCAAAGTAACTTATACAAACAAATAGATAGTGTTTTAAGGCATTTATTTATATCATAAAGCGTTGTGATAGCATTAGTTTCCTAGATAAATTATAATTAAGATAACCCAGTTGTCTCCATTTGATATAACTCCTTGATCAAAGTGGTTGAAATATGTAAGACAAGTAATATGGATCAGAGGGAATAATACACAAGGAAACTCACCAGAAGAGATTGTGCTGTAGGGTTCCAATCCATAAGACTTGATGGCGTGCCTTTTCTCAATGTCTCGCCTTGGTCATTAACAGCACTTGGACCAGCAACGCTACAATTCGCAGCCTGATTGTTCAATTCTTCATCATTAATATGAACTGCCTTATCCATCCTTGCAGCCAACACCTTATCTGCAGCTGCTTTTGCGGCTGGTAATGGATCATCCACCACATTATGAAGGTCAGCACACCTTGATTTGAGGTCATGTATGACCTTATGAACTTGAGGGGTTGAAATTCGGTCTTCAATTCTGCTCAAAATTTCACGTGCTTTTTCTTCCCCAGCTGTAAGTTCCAAAATTGCACCATCAATGATAGGCATAAAATAACCTTCTGGCGCAGTTGGATCTAAATGCAACAATGTAAAATAATTCCAAACTACAATTCTAAGCACATGAGTGATGCACGAAATAGAACAGGCCCAGAAAACAGGAATCCCAAATGGAAGTTGCACTGGTCATCAAAGACTTAGCAGTAAGGCCATGAAACGCAGGAGAAGGGCTGAAGGGGTCACTCATTTTCCTATTGAGGACAGGTGCACAAACAACAACTCCAAACATTAAACATCCGCGGCCTATACTTGGTCTAATCTACCAATTATGTACAAACACACAAAATCAACTAGAAACAAAAATGTGGCTCAAACAAAATATGCTCAAAACAATTATTTATGGAACCACAACAAATTATACTAGCATGTAAAACATATACTCCCTCCATACCCAAATATAAGACTTTTGGAATTTGCACTACCTTTCCTGAATCACTCGGTCACTGTACAATTTTTTTTTCGTTTCTGAAAATGTCCCCGGATCTCCCTCACTCGGTCTCGGGTCTTTCTTCCTCACTCGCTCGCTCTCCCGCCGCCGCCTCCTCCTCTCCCCACAAATCGCCGCCGCCTTGCTCCCCCCGCCCACGCCGCCGCTGCCTTGCTCCCCTCACGCCTCCATTCCCGGTGCCTTCCTTCCTCTATTGTACTTTCGGCGGCACCGCCTCAGCTGGTTACACCCGCCGCTACAAGCGCAGCGTGGACTTCTTCAGTTCAAGGTCATTTTTATGGCAAAGAAACCAGCGGTGCTAGCCTTGGCGCAGTGGTAAAGCTGCTGCCTTGTGACCATGAGGTCATGGGTTCAAGTCCTGGAAACAGCCTCTTACAGAAATGTAGGGAAAGGCTGTGTACTATAGACCCAAAGTGGTCGGACCCTTCCCTGGACCCTGCGCAAGCGGGAGCTACATGCACCAGGTTGCCCTTTTTTTTTAAACCAGCACGATAGGTGTTGGATCTGCTCAAGAGAGGCAGGCTGTTCAAGTGTGCGACGCCGAAGGAGAAGATGGTGATGTCCGCGAGTCAAACCCAACCCGAGTACGTCAACGCGGGCAATGAGGTGCAGCACTGAAGCACGGAGGTCAACGACGTCTCGCTCCACGTCGCGGAGCAGGGCTCCGGCGCCGGCCTGGTGGTCCTCCTCCTCCACGGCTTCTCGGAGATGTGGCTCTCATGGAGCCACCAGATGTCCACACTCGCGGTACGCAGCCGTTGCACCCTCGCCCTCCGCGGCCGTCACGCTCCTCGACCACCTCTGCCTCCCCAAGCTGCGGCCCCTTTTATCTGTCTATGATCCTTGCTATGATTGCCTACTGTGTCTTGCGATTTACTCCATCATCTGTGATCCAGTGTCTGTGATTGCCTCCCCAAGGAGTGTTGTAGTTTCAACTCCAATCTTGTGTGAAATGGAAACTGTAGACATTGGTTACATCGAAATTGAAGCAAATGTGCTTGTAAATTGCACTCTTTTTACAATAGGGTGTAGCCACATCCAGGTGTATATTCTGAAAGCCATTTTCCTACAAATCCTTCATTAAAATTTGACTTATCACACCGGCTCGAATCATAACATGCAGATTCTGGATACAAATCCCCAATTATACTGTAACTGACATATACTTCCATCTGCAGCAGCAGAAACTAATAGAGTTGATTCGTGTGGGAAAAATAAATGAAGCTTTGGAATTTGCTCAAGAACTTGCACCAGGAGGTGAAGAAAATGCGAGTTCTACTGAAATTATCTCTTGAACTTCAGTTAGGACTATGGGTTCAAATCTTTATTAATCAAAACTCCCATTATATCTCTTGGTAATACCACTGATTTTTAAGACCATGCAGTGACATTACTTCTCTATGTGAAATGTTGGCAATTTTGCAGTAAGCCTTTCTGGAGGAAATAGAGAAAACAGTAGCCCTTCTGTTTTTTGAAGATGTAAAAAACTGTCCATACGGTGAACTGTTGGACGTTTCTCAACCCTTAAAGATGGCAAGTGAAGTTAATGCTGTCATTCTTACAAGCCAAAGTAACGAGAAAGGTCAGTAGCACGAGGATTATCTGTTTATCTATTTTGTAATTTAGTGTCACTGAGGCATATCTGCATCCACTTGACAGATGTACAGAACTTATATCAAACATCTTGTTTTATTTCGGAATAAGCTACCTTTTGGTAAAAGAATTTGAAACTGACAAGTGGACACCCAATCAAGAACAATGCATAAACTGACAAGTGGGGTATGTATTTACTCTCATTTTATACCTCAAAGCAAATCTAAGACTGAATTTTATCAAAAGGTTACATAACTACTGTAAAGACTAGGTTTAGACAAAGATTGAGTCAACTACACAACCGCTAAGGGTGGCGTTGGTGTTTATATTTATAAAGGGATTACATGTACAAGTACAAGTCATATAAGAAGCTACATACTCCCTCTGTAAAGAAATATAAGAGCATTTAGATCACTCTTTAGTGGTCTAAACGCTCTTATATTACTTTACGGAAGGAGTACAAGTCTAATAACTGCACATAAATATAATAATGTACGGCCAGCTGAAAACAGCAAACACTTGAGCTGATCATGCATGACTGGCGATGAAAGTAGGAAAACATGTTTCAGACGTGCCATTGGAAATTACAGTGCATGGGTAGCTAGCTGAACACTTGAATTGATTTAGTTTCAGCATCAATCTTCTATTCAAAATTACAGTGCATGGGTAGCTAGCTCAACTTGCCAGTTACTCTTGCCCGTGTCTTGCCTGAAGTAAAATTACAGTGCATGGGTAGGAGGTCCATCTGTTCACAGGCTAAATATGTGATCACCTCTATGTTTTGTTTGGTTTGATTTTCTTAAATACTAATTGAACTGTCTGAAATTATCATTTGCAGTGTGTTGTTGAGCATGTGGTCGATTTCACAACAGGAACGAATGATAAAGGTTTCATAAGCATGTCAATGGTTCACAATCATGAACGCTCTAGCTGACCAAGTTCACCAGAGTTGCATTTCAGGTTACTCCTGTGAGATAGAGATTATTTTTCTATTGTCGCATCTTGAGTCAAAGGCTAAAAGTATAACATATAGTATAGGCAACTTCATCACATCATTGCGTCTCAGAACCCCGCCAAATAAAATGCTGCGCTTTGTTGGCCAGAACAGAAGAATACTCACCTAGAATGCGGTATTTGGCGCGGACGGTCTCGTCAGCGGCGCGCCACGTCTCGACGGCGCCGTCACCAACGATCTGCTCGGCCGCTAGCTCCAGGCGAGACGGACCGATTGCGGCCCATTCGGCCGCCAGGTGGTCCCTCACCCGCCGCTCCGCCTTGGCCCGGTCGCCAAACAACCCCTTCAGCACGTCCTGCGAAAAGGCGTTCCCGACGGCGGCCTCGAACTGGTCCGCAGCAGCGAGGGCCTCGGAGGAGGCGAGCGCGGGGTCCCCGCCCTCCTCCTTGTCGACCGCGCGGCGCGCGCGGCCGCCGGGGCGCCCGAAGAGGGCCCGCGCGGCGGCGTCGAAGTCGGGCGCCGAGCAGGCGAGGAAGGCGGCGACGGCGAGGTGCGCGGCATAGACGGGGGACGCGGGACCCGAGTCGGGGAGGGAGGCGAGGAGCTGGAGGGAGTCGAGCGCGGCGGCGGAGACAGGGTCGGTGTCGAGGCGGCGGAGGAGCAGCGAGCGGAGGAGGCGCGGCGTGGGACGGTCGGGGAAGGGGAGGCCCGCGAGGAGCACGTTGGCGGCGGCGGTGGGGATGGAGGCGTCCCCTACGACGTGGTCTAGGATAAGGGACGCGTCCGCCGGCGTCAGCCGCGGCATCTTTTCTTGCCGCCGGTAGGATTTGGGGGCGAGAGGGGAGCGGGACGGCGAGGCGCGGTGATGGCTGGCTTCAAAACATTTTTTTTGAGAGAGAAATTTCCAGTCATATCAGGAATCAGTACAAAGTAGTTGACCCTTACAAGCACACTGAAATGCAAATACAAAGGACCATGAACACCTAGAGTACCTTAAAACAACCATAACACAAGAAGATCTCCGGAGCCCAGTGTCATCATCCATGAATCTTGAGAGAAGACCCCTGCTGCAGCAGAAGGATCTGCAACCAGTCGCAAACAGGTCATCATCTTCGACCACAGTACAATTGCCGCCACGCTGCTTCCTCCTTTCTTGACACCAGCGCTGAGAGGGCATGGACATCAATCCAACACACCTGCAACAGCCGTCGCCATCTTTGGCTTTGAGTACCGCGAAAAATGTCCCTTCCGAAAGGAAGAGAACTCGAGTCATCCGACCGGTCCAGCACCGCGGCCGGGCCATCCGCCCGGGCAAAGCAGGATCTCTTCAAAACTTAGAGCATCAACAACTAGACTTGCAAATCCGGCCCCTCAAACGATCGTGGGCGCGTCCGTGTGCAGTGACCGGACACGTCTCAAATTTTAACAGTTGCATCCGGACATCTCATATTAGATTCTCGAAAACTAAAATAAACCTACACTACGTCGGTCACCTAGCTACTCGTCATCAGAGATGTCGACGATCTCTGTGCCCAGCTCTGGCAGCATGGGCGGCAGCTGCAGCTCCGGCTCCTCCGACGGCTCCGGCTGCTCTGCTCCGGCCTCTTCCGCCTCTATCTCCGCGTCGAGTTCGGCGAAGAGCGCGTCGGACGCCGCCTGCTCCTGACAGAGGAACGCCCGGTTTTCCTCCACATAGGCCTCATCCTGGATGGCCTGCTGCTCAGCCATCTCCTCTGACTGAGCGACGCTAAACTCCGTCTCCGCATGCTCCATGTTGAAGGCCGGCAGCTGCTGCTCTGGCTTCTCCACCTCCATCAGAGCCATCTCCTCCTCCTCTTCCCTCGGTTGCTCCTCCTCTTCCCCCGGATGCTCCTCCTCCTCGTCTCCGGCGAACCCGTTGGCAGCCCGGCAGCGATACGGGCGACGCGCGCAGCTTGTTTCGCTCGGATCTCCTTCTGGATCTCGTAGTGCTTCGGCGTCAGCATTGCGTAGTAGGTGATCTTACTCCGGACCGGAGCGCCGGAGCGGGAGAAAGAGGAGGTGGATGGGCTCGGACTGGCGACATGAAGAGGGAGGAGGTGGATGGGTTAAGGTTGCGGGACGCCAGCCGGCTTAAATAGTCGGATTTGGTCTCGGCAAGCTGGAGCGGTGTCACGCGACGACGGGTTTTTGGACGTTTCCGTGTGGGACCCCGCCGTCAAACCGACATGGCGGGCGTGCCCAGGCGCCCCCATATCCCCGCCCCATATTTGAGCTGGATATGAGGGGTGTCGGTCAGCCCGGACGTTTGAGGCCCATTTGAGGGGCCCGTCTGGGTCGAAAAATCATGACCGGTGCGTGACCCGGTGGTTCGCCGGGCGTTTGAGGCCGATTTGGGGCGCCCGACTGTAGATGCTCTTAGAGCATCTCCAATAGATGATGCAAATTTGAAAATGTAAAACTAGGTGATGTACAATTTACATCTTCATTGCATTTTACATATTCAAAAAAAAAGGCAACTCCAACAGATGATGTATTCTGATCATGTAAAAGTGCAACTCCAATAAGTAATGCAAATTGGAGATGTAAAAACTAGAAACTTCAACTACTGCTTCATCTGAAAAATAATTCAAACACAATTCTTATTGAAAACATAAATTAAACGATTACTACAACTAACTGAAACAACTGCATCCATCAAACTAGTCGTCCTCCTCTGATGGCATCCAGTACTCCTCCTCGTCCTCATCTGAAGGCGGACAGAACTCCTCGTCGTCCTTCTTCGAGGACTTGACGGGGATCACCGTTGAAGGGTTGGCCTCGTCCTCCTTCTTCACATCCTTCTTCTTCTTCTTCTTCTTCTTCTTCTTCTTCTTCTTCTTCTTCTTCTTCTGCTCGGCCTCACGCATTCAGAAGTACTCCTGCTCGGCCTGAACATACTTTGGATGCTCCCATGCGAACCTCGTCATCATCGCCTCGTCACTATCGCCGGGAGCAACGACAATGGCAGGCCTCTTCTTCGTCTTCTTCGTTATCTCCTCCATCTGAATACCCTCTGGCATGAGGAACTCCACATCCGCCCGGGTCTCAATCTCCGGGAAGTTGAGGTCCATCTTCGGCCTCCTGACACGCCACACTGTCGGCGGTGGTGTAGGTACTGAGCCAGAAGCGGCGGCCAGCGTCAGTGAACTCGACGCCGAAGTTGCCGGACGGCTTCGCTGGCACACCGAAGAACGTCGTCTTGCTCTTCGGAAGCTTCTTCGGTGGCATGGTGACGACGAGGGTTGTGGCGACTGGGCGGCGGGCGAATCGGAGCAGCGGCTCGTCATGATTCGGGGCAATGGCGTCGGGGAAGCGACGGGGGCGGCGGCGGCTATGCGTGGGGCGGTCACCGAGAAGCGTCGAGGCAATGGGGGCGGTGAACTGCAGCGATGGCAGTGGGGAGTCGGGGCGACGATTCGAGGCGGAGCGGCAGCGGAGGAGCAGCGGATCAGCGGCGAGGGGCATCGGGGGTGGTTGACGGCTGGATCTGGCGCGGGCGGGCGACGGAGGCAGTGCTGAGGGCGAATCGCGGCTGCGGCGGCTGTGTGGCGGGTGGAGAGGGGAAAGGAAAGGAAGGGCAGTTGACGGTTGGTGCGCGACCGCCGGTTTTACATCTCGATGCAAATTTGCTTGCATCTTCAGGTATTGTAGTTTACATTTTCTGGCCGATGTAAAAAAAATGCGTGTACATCATCTGTTGGAGGTAGGTTTTTGACCTCAAAATACAAAAGTTAGTTGTTTTGCGTCTTCATCATCTTTTGGAAATGCTCCTAGAGATTACATTCTCGTCCGACAACACTCATCACCTCATCCGGCCCATCCAAGCCAAAACGCAGCGTGATCATGAAATGACTAGCATTATTGCTGCTACGACGAATATTAATTATTAATTCGATAAGAAACGTTCCCCATGCTTTGTTAGATCTCTCTGATCATGATATGATTTTTTATATGATTATGCTTTAGCGTCAAATAAACGTACATGATGATAGTACATTGTCCCTCTTGCCGCCCGACTTCTCAGTCCTTGTCGGTGACACCGAGGAGGTGGTAATGGTGTTCCAAGTCATCACCGCCTCCGACCTCAAGGTCGGTAGTAGCTGCGTCCATCGTTGATGCCCATTTTTTTACCGGAAAACTTTCCGTCTATTCATTATCAATTATGGTAGTACAACGAACACCGAAAAAAAATAAAAATTGCATCCAAATTCATAGATCGCCAGTGACGACTATAAGCACTGAAGCGAATCGAAGGCGCGTCACCATCATCCCTCGCTCGCCGGGCGTAGATCGGAAGGATCCAACATGAACACACACTGATGTAGACAAAAGAAAACTGGATCCGAGCGGATCCATCAAAGACAACCACCGACCAAATCATGCAAGATCCGCAGGAGACACACCTACACACGCCCTCCGACAATGCTAGACGCACCATCGGGGCGTGGGCTTGACAGGGAGAACTTTATTCCATCTCGAGCAAGCCCCAGCCGTCTCGTCTTCCTAAACAGGGCACAAACCCTAGCAGAACTCGAAGAAACATATAAAAAATAGAGTGGTTCCACCGGTAAGGGACAAGATCCACCGTGGCCCATGGCCCTAAGGTCACAGAAAAAGAGGAAAATCGCCACCGCCACCGATGGGAGGCAGAAACCCTAGCCGTATGTTCGCTTGATGCCCACATTGTGGTGTTCTTGTTCGACTTCAACAAGTACTAGGCCACGGACAGTGAGGTGATGCTCCTCTCTAGCTAGGGTAAGGGTTGGCGGTGCCTTAGGACATGGATATCAGGGTGGTGGACTCGGACAACAGTCTGCATGTTTGGCTCTCTGACGGGCATCATGGAGGCGGTGGCTACTATGCCTTCTGGTCATCTGGGTGACGAGGGGTGTAGCGGTGGGAGGGTCGAGCTATCTCATTGACAGTGGCGACGCCCAGATCCGGAACTGAAGGCTTGTGCCCGCCGCGGCTGTCTTAGGTGCCTTGTGGTGGTACAGGTGAGCTATCATTAAACCACTATCACATAGGTCATGCAATTGTTCCCATGCCTCAGCTAAATCACCTCTTGAGCATCTCCTAAAATATTAACCCCATCTAATCTATACCTATACCTATTAATAAAGAAAATAGGTATTCTTAGTCCGTCATGCTATTTAATAGAAAATCCACTAATGTTTCTGACATTAAACATGTAGTACATATCAAACATTTTTTAAAATATTCATATCTTCTAAACCGTAACTTCAAATTTAACATGTTATACATGAAATTTGATTAGAAAAATATATGAAATTTGAATATGATGTTATTTTACCTGTTACCATTAAAAAAACTATTTAGGATGCAATCTTAATCAACAGTGCATTATCCATCTTTATTTCATATCGGTACTTATCCGGATTATGATGAACTTCTCAGGAAAATTAGGATTGAAGACGAAATTGAAGATCACTTGCCCGAGCCGTGTTTAAATTGAAGACATGTGAAATCTTGAACTTGTTGTTTTATAGGCAAAGACCATCTTTGTTTAGACTACTTTTGTAAATTAAGAGCATGTGGTATTCTTTTCTCCCGTTGCAATGGAGGGAGTATAACCTAAGAGGGTCGGGACAGCATTAACTTTAGGAGATGTCTAAGAGGTGATTTAACCCCACATGATTTAACCCCACATGAGCTTGCATGTGATCTCAAAGCTAATATCAGCCCAGCTAAATCACGTCTTGAAATTGCTGCCATGCCTCAGCTTCACAAACACGGGAGAATATCACCAAGCGCAAACCCGAG